GGACTATGGGACCCCAGTTGTCTCTTCTCTCCCCTCCCTTCTCCCTGTCCCTCTCTTCTCCCTCCCCTCCACTCCCCCGTCCTCCCCCTATACCATGAGGAGATAAGCAGCTTTGCTTCATGCCACTTCCCCCATCATAATGTGCTGCCTCACCTTCATCACAGACCCCAAATGAATGGTCTAAGTGACAGCGGACTGAAACCTCTAAACCTATGAACCCAAGAAAATATTTTCTTCTCTTAAGTTTTTTTTTTTAATCTCAGATATTTGGCCACAGTGATAGAAAGCTAACAGTGTCAAAGCCCAGTTTACTGCAGAAAAAGGCAGGTGCAGCAAAGCTTTTACATCTACTACCAGGGTACATGGTCTTCTAAGAAAGATCTGAGCTTTCAGTGCTGTTATCATAGATGAGAAAAAAAATATTCTTGACTCTTGATGTATTCCAGGTATACCCAAAGTATCATGCACACAACAACTGGATGATTTTTTAAGAATATAAATATTCCTTCATTTGTCTGCTTAGCGCCCTTCTAGGATTTTCCTTTCCTTTCAAGATAAAGTATAAACTCTCTGAGTCTTTCTATCCTGCCCCTGCTTACCCACTCCCCCATATCACTCATCACTGTCATCCAAGTTCATGAAGCCCTGGTAACTCTGGCCCCTTATTTTCAAACATGCTGCATTTATTGCCATTTTAGGGCTTTTCAATTAGCTGGTTTTCTTCAAGTGTCATCACCACTTTACCCTTGAAGAAATGAAAAAGTTTAAATACAAAGCAACTCCATAATGAGGTATAACCTTTGCTTCTCTGGGTATGACAAGGATTTATTTATTCCTTTTTTTCTTATCCAGCTGGAGCCTAGAGCTGCCTGACACCTCCTCAAAGGGGAAATGGAGCCCAAAGGCAGAACATGACTTAGTCAAAGCAATTCAACTAAAGGGGGAGGTGCCAATTGTCCACTGATAAATCCAAAGGCTGTGAATTGGATTCATGGGGAAGCAAATATATTGCATGTGTGTGCTGGGTTTAAAATATTTACACAGTTCCAGTAATGAAACTCCTGTTTCACCCTCTTTTCATATTTTTTTAATTTTTTTTTCCTTTTTGTCTTTTGACTTTGCTGAGTCCAACGTCTAAGTGGGCACAGACAATTTTGGATGTCTCTTCCATTTGTGACTTATAGATTTCACTCTTGAAATTACAACTAGAACCTAATTTTAAAAATCAAATTGGTTTCATCTAATTAAATTTGGAAATTGCCTCATAAACACATATTTTGTTATAAATACTTTTAAAAGTAAAGCTTCCTGCTTATAATGTGCAGCAAGATTGGTTTGAGCTCAGCTTGGAAACAATTTACCACCTTTCTCTTCAGGAGAAAAAAATATTCTTCTAGCTATTGGTAAAGCTTTCTACAAGGGTCCTCCTCAACAGTTAATGCCCCTACAAACTGCCCAGGGATTTTGTTACACTGGAAGTTCTGATTTGGGAAGTCTGCGTGGGGCCTGCGATTTCTAACTACGGCTCTGTGACACTGACGTAAATCTGGGAAGTAGCATCTGAATTCGGAAGACAGGCACGTCAGCCTGCCTGTGGTCTCTTCCACTTCACATCTCTGCCTGCAACCTCCTCGATCATTACGCAGTGATAACTGCTAAAATTTATAATGTTATTTCTAAAGGCCAAGCACTGAGCTAAACATAAATTTAATATGATCCCCACAGCAAGCCCACAAGGTTACTGTTATTATTATCTCCATCTTCCAGAGGAGAAACTGAAGGCTCTAAGAGGTGGCTTCCGGTACAAAATCTCATAGCGGGTAACTGTCAGAGCTGGGATTCAGATGTAGCCAGCCCGAATCTCAACATTTTTGGTTTCCTGGGTCTCACTCTCTTTGATACACAGGATCACAGTCATGTCTGTAAACAAAATATAATAACTAAGCCCACAAATTCATAGCTTCCTTCAGAGCATCCCCAAGAATTTTGTTGTACTCCCAAAAAGATTGGCTCAAATTCTCATCCAAGAAAAGCCCACTGCAATTTTCTGGCTCTCATTCTCTGGAATCACAGCCTAAGGAGCAGTCAAGAAGCTACTTAAACACCTTACCAGGATGTCTCCAATACAGTCCCTCAAGGAAATGTCAACATCCCTGGCAATGAGTTTTGAAAATGCACAAAGGACTGGGCTTGTGCCCCTCTAATTGGTTCCCACCTTTGTACGTGGAGCTCCACAGAGGTTAGGTACCACATACTGATGCCTCCAGTTCAGGAGCGATTGCTCAGTGTTCTAACTTGCAGTTGGGCTTGCAGCTTTCTCTTTCCATGTATTTATTTTTTCTTATCATAGAATAGCAATATGATGTTGCTAGTCCAGTGAATGCATGAGAGAAGTATATTACTCTTAAGGAAGAAGTCATTGCAGATGACCCCACCTGCTACATGGCCCTACTTAGTAAGTATGGGTATCCAAACTAAGTGTGGGTATCCAAAGGACTAAATTGTCATTATTCAAGGCAAAATGAAAACAAAGGCAGTTGACATGTTTATTCATGATGCTAAACTTATTTAATTCAAAAGACTGCCTTTTAATCTGAAATTATGTCCTTTTTATACTTTTTGGAATTAGATCTTGTTTGAAATGTTAATAAAAATTGTAAAGTCCCCTAAATCTTTGATGCGTTACTGAGTGATAGATTCCAAAATCCTTCCACTAGTGGCACTAAGATTCTTCTATAACACTGCCATCACTCCTGAACTCACGGGTCCTTTCCTTCTGCTAGACAATGAATAAGTCACTATACACAATTGATCTCTTATAGCTTTTTAAATACACATTTAGTACAAGGTCTACAGGGTCTCACTATACAAATCAAACTCATAGTGATCCTCTTGTTTTCAGCCTCCCAAGGGCTGGGATTACAGGCACGTGGCACCACACCCAGTCTCAATTATGGTCTCAGAGTGCCTTGGGGGTGGGCCAGGCAGGGCAACACAACAGATCCCTTTGGATGTGCATGTGTGTAGTTGTAGTCTCTACTTTATAAAAAAATATTACAAAGGGTCAGCGAGATAGCTCAGCGGTCTAAATCGCCAGCTTAGGCAAGCTTAGTCAAGCCCAGGCACACAGTTCATCTCTGGCACCACATGGATGCCAGCTCTACCCCACGGGCGGGCTGAGCTGGCCAAAATTATCTATCTATCTATCTATCTATCTATCTATCTATCTATCTATCTATCCAGATATATCTTGCAGCTTTGGAATCAGTAGATTTTGATTCAATTAAATTTCCAAGCCCACTCTTTTCTGCAAGCCTTCGGCCACATCCCAGGGGTACCTCCTCTTATAAAAGAAAAGGAAGGGAGCTTCTTCTTGTGGGTCAGGAGGGTCCAAAAATGGCGAGAATGAATACATCTTTCCTCATTTACCTGGTTCCCTGCAGTTTCTAAAAGGAAGATATTAGATAGGTCTTCTAAGGGAGGTTTGATTCAGGGCCACAGAGTGGACAATCTCCTGCTTCAGAGAGCACTAGGGACCATGTTTGTCTCTATCAAGCTTGTGGGTTCATCAGACTGATACTGAATCTCTGTCTCTCAACAAGTTCCCCTTGATATTCCTCCTTGATCCTGCTCCCTACAGGGGGATGTTTCTGCATGAGCCTGGGAGAGAAAGCCTTTCAGTGGAGCTGTAGCACATGTTGCATCCAGGAAAAGCTGCATCTTCTTTTCCCGCACTTGACCCTGAAGCCACAATGCTCATCTTCATTCTATAGATGAGAGTACATGCTGATCATGCCAACGGCAGCAGAGACCATGGTAGAGCTACTGGGATCCTAGGCTACATCCTTCCAGCATCAGTACTCACACCCTTCCATTTGCTTTGGTCTGTTTTATCCAGTACTGCAATCTCATGGTGCCTTAGAATACAGTGAGTATGGAGACAGTCAACCCCTCTGCATCTCAGTACTTAAATCCTTGCTGCTCATTGTTTTTGAAGATTTTTCTTTCTGGTTTACAATGGATTTGTATATAGCTTTAGTTTGATAAGTTTTTCGGAAGCATATTGTGTTGATTTAACGGGTATATCTCTGCCTGAGTAGATTCTTTTCTGTTGTGATCTAAAGCTAGTGCACAGTGGGGGTTTGGACATTATTTCTTGACTAATAATACAATATGCTTAGGGCATGTGGAAATTCAGAACTCAAGAATTCTGTAACTCTGAGGTAGAGAACAGAGTTGGGATTCTTCTCAAAGCCCAAGGACTGATACTGGCAGAGTAAACACCATCTGAGTATTGAGGTTTTCCAGACAAACTTCACTTATTATTTACCAGGCCTGGGTCTCTCTTCTACACAAGACAATTTAATTCCTTTGCATAAAGGTTCAACTATTACATGATCACTTCATTGTATATGGTATGTGCAGATTTCTTTGTCTTGGAGGCTATTGAAGATAGTTCAGGTGTGTGCCCTGGTATGTTCTTCCCATTGTATTGTTAGAAAATTTGTGGTAAGTTGAATCTTACTAACATTTGCATCCTCAATAGACTAGTATAGGGCCAGAGAGAAAGCTCAGCAGTCTCAGCACCTGCTTGGCAAGTGCAAGGACCTGGGTTTGATCCCCTGTGCCGTATGCAATGCTATTCCTGTCCCGGGTAGAAAGTTCCAGAGCCTGCCACTGAGACCAGGCATGGTGGTGCACACCTGTAATCTCAGCTCTGTGGAGGCTAAGAAACAGGAGGATCACTATGAGTCTGAGCTGTGTAGTGAGACCTTGTACCAAATACATTTAAAAAAAAGAAGAAAGAAAGAGTAGTGTGCACCATGAGCCAGGGATATAGCTCAGCAATTTAAGCACTTGCTTGGCAAGTGCAAGGTCCTGAGTTCAACCCCAGGCACAGAGAAACAAACGAACAAACAAACAAACAGTATGCCTCTATTGAGGCCTAAGAGAATTGAATAAAGCCATGCCAGTTGAAGCAGCCCAAGGGGGCTTCTTACCTCATAGAGTGTGATAACACCATTAGTTTCATTGGGAGGTTTCCACTGGATATAGATCTTCTCTTCAAAGGGTCCTCCTTGGATGGATTCAAGAGGAACAGCTCCAGGAACTACAGAAAGGAAGACGATGAACTTGATGTTAGCATCTACATCACTTCTCTAGCCCCATTAATCTAGAGGACAGGTTTGCAAAGTTTCTCTCAAGAATCAGATACAAACATTTTAGGATTTACAGACCACACTGCCTCTGTTGCAACTACTCAACTCTGCTGTTTTAGTATAAAACTGACTACAAAAATACATAAATGAGAGGATATCTCTGTTCTCAAATAAAACATTCCTAAATACAGGCAGTGGGCCAGATTTGACTAGGGGCCATAACTGATTGGCCCCTCTTTAGGCCCCCGCTTTCCTACCAAATGGCAAGGTAGACTTAGGCCTTAAGATTGGTATTTGAGAAGCGGAGATTGGGATCACCATCATGTTTCCAATTCTTATTTTTCTAACAATGCCAAGTTCTCACCAACTTCAATGTCCTAATCTGTGAATCCTGCAGAAACCCTGTGCCTTAAGTTTCAATGCATTTAGAAGCCTGCCATGCTCCAAGAAGGCAGCTCTCTTGGCTTGCTGGCTGAGTCTCCAATACCTGGCATAGAGTTGGATGGATGGCGCATGCCAGCATTTTGCCCTAGTGAGCACAACTATTCCTGCTGCTGTTTCTCCAACAGGCTGGTTTTCCCACCACCCTCCTCCTGCTGAGTTGCACCATTCTTATCACAGACCAGGAGGTGCTAAGCCAGAAGCTAAATGATTCCCCAAACTTTCCGTTATAACCCCCTAGAGAATCAGGAATTCATGTAAATCATTACCAGACCTATTTATATTTCAGCATTATGAAAGCAGGTACTTTTACTAAGCACTTACTCTTTGATCAGAATTTTACATACATTATTTCACTTAAGCTACAAAAGAGTTCTGCCCAGTATGCATTATCTCCTTTGTGCTGATAAGGGAACTGAGACTGAGAGAATTAAATAACTTGTTCAAGGTCATATGGCTCTCAAATTGTAAAGAGGGAACTGAACACCTGTCTAGGAGCTTCAAAGCATATACTCTTAATCATTATGCTACGCTTCTCTATATAAAGCCTTGGCCATATGTTGCAATCAGTTCCCCATTGTTAAATTAAAAATACATTTAGTTTTTTTCATGATAGGTACAATATGCACAATTTGGTGAATATTAAGAATATTAAAAAGAGAAAGAACAAAATCACTCATGATACCCACAGGCAAAGGTACTTTTGCAGTACTGTTATCCATACATAATATAAATATTTAATTTATAAAAAATATAAACAATGTCTTTGGATATATATTTTTAGTTTTTTTTAAATGTAAAGCCTACTATATATATTGAGCTCTGACTAAATAAACAAAAAATGTTATTTGTGGGAGCATCCGTTATCTATTTATTTAGGTAGTAGTGGTCGAACTCAGGACCTTACACTTTCCAGGCAGGTGCTTAGGCCACTGAGGTATCTCCTAGCTCATTTACTGTTTTTTGGAACTGCGTATTATAATAGCTACTCCGGAAAGATGCCCCCACTATGGTCATAGTCACCAATCCTTTATTAGTGGGCATTAAAGTTATTTGGATTTTTTCATGATGATTTGTAACACTGGAATGAGAATACTTACCAATATTTTCATGCAAATTTAATGATGTCTTGAACATGAATTCAAGGAAATTAATTTACCAGACCATATGAGAAAAACTATTTTATTTTTAAGGTTTTCGACATGTATTACCAGATTGCCTTCTAGAAAGTTGGTATAAATCTGGACTCTCCAACAAAAGAACATGCCTAGTTCTGATCTCTGCCAACACTATTTAAAAAATTAAGTGCATGTGTGTATCGTTTTTAGCCTACTGGAGAGCACAGATTTTTTTTTCCAGTTTAATTAGCCATTTGCATTGATTCTTTTAGGAACATGCTCTCTACACCCTGTGCTCATTTTCCCATATGGCTCTTTATTTTTGCTCATCTTTGTCTTATGGGCTTGTCATTATAATCTCTTTGTAAGGATTTAAGTTTTCTTTGTGAATAGTTTACAAATAGTTTCTTCTAGCTTTCTTTTAAAAATCATTTAGGTATCTAAATGCTTTTAATTAATCAAAACTTTTATTTTAGGTTTTTCTTTTCTTACTCTTCCTCATTGTGAATATGCTTTGAGTATTTTATATGTTCGAAAGACTATGGTGAACATTACAAGTGCACAAATAATAAGAGTGATGTACTCAAAGTTTTGATAAAGCTTATGTTCTGGGAAGGAAAGATTAAATAGTTATATCTGCAATTAATTTATTAAAGTTGCTATCATATATCTGAGATGAAGGCATATAGTAGTAACAGAATTTTAAGCAAAGAAAAAAACATCTGGCAAGTCAGTATATCGAAAAGCAAATAAAGTAGAGTCAATGGGTAAGTCACTGGTACAGGGCAAAAGCAGAGAGCATTAAAGTGTGGGTGGGTAACTTTTTGAGGTCAAGGGTAGAAAGAGAAAAATCAGTTATGAGGTTGCTAGAGTCCTTCTTGGGAGAAAGGATGGGCTAAGGAGAGGGAGAGTAAAACTGTATACAAGATTATATTTTATTTTATTATTTTTAAATTTATGTATTTGGTACAGGATCTCACTACACAGCTCAGACTCATAGTGATCCTCCTGTTTTCAGCCACCCCAGTGCTGAGACCACTCCTGGTCTCAGTGGCTGGCTCAGTTTGCCCTGGGGGAGGGGCCAGTGTGGCATGCAGTACCAGGGATCAAGCCCTGGTTCTTCTGCTTGCCAAGGCAGGCGCTTAGTCTGCTGAGCTATCTTGTCAGCCCTGTAGAAGATTTTAGTTGCATTAAAATAATGTGAGCTGATGGGGATAAGTAAAGACAAAGGAGGGGAGGTATGGGTCAGAGAACCAAACTTACTTCATACAACTGGAGGATCCAGTGATTTTCATAAAGTGATGACCATATTTTGAGGATGTTAGTGAGCTCAGTTTTTGTCATATTTAATTTGAGGTATATGGAGAACAGTCCTCTGGGGTGAGTGAAAAAGGCTAATAGAAAAGCAGGGGCCAAGGCTTGGAAACTGAAACAATGATAAGAGAAAAGATAGTACAAGAAGAACACAAAGCAGAGAGGGAAAGACAGGTCTTGGCTAAAAGGAACTCCAGTCTTAACAACGAGGAGGAAAACAAATGGCAACACTGGGAGTTAATAATCAGAGAGGTAACAGGAAAAGGGAGAAGCTGAGTTGTATCGTACATGGAGGGGAGGAAACAGGTTCACTGAAGGATTGATCAAGAATGAAAGATATGACTGCATAGTCAAGTACGAGGAACCTTATTTTGTCCACTGAATCCAGTGTCGTTAAGGCTATTTGTGACTCGGGTAAGAGTAGCTTTGGAAATTACTTTGCTGTCACAGCCATCCTGGAAGAGACTGAAAAGGGAAAGGAAGGTAATATGAGACAAGTCAACAACTTGGACTATGAAGAGAAAGAAGAGGCACAAATAGCAGGCATAAAAGAAGTGAAAGATGGAAACAAAGCTTTTGTAAATAAGGAGGGAAAGGAGAGTTGAAGGGAGGGTGTGGTGATTTGGAAAAAAATAAGTTATATATCACATACAGGTACAAATTTCTTATGATGAATGTGATCATTATGTATATCTAAAATGTACCAATGACCTAAATTAATAAAGTAAATGATAGACAATTTAAAAACTTAAAAAAAAAAACAAAAAAACAAACAAACAAACAAACAAAAAAAAAAAAAAACAAATAGCAGGCATGACATGTGGAGCCAAAGCAGTGCTCACTCCTGAAGAAGGAGGAGATCAGGGCATGATTAAAGCAACCAGGAAAAATCCGAACTAGGAGGAAGAAGTAGAAGGGAAAGAAAGGGAAGTGCTAACTGACATTGGCAGGACTCAAAAAAAAAAAAAGACAAGGATAGGGGTGACTGGAAACAAGGTCCCTTCCTTCTATAGAGATGAGAGAAAATGGAAACAAGCAGATGCTTTGGAGGGAGGAGATCGGGCTCCCATAATGGCTCTATTTTCTTGAAAAGCGAGGATGAAGCCATGTGCAAATGGTGTAGTATGGGGAAGAGGACCAATAACATCAATAACCTGGAAAGGGTTAAGAAGATTTAATCGCTTAAAAGTGGAAAGAGATCTGAACACAGAGGGGCACATTGTACTGCTCTATCTTGTGGTGCATCTAAAGAGGGAAGCTCCTGTCCACAGAAAGTAGAGGAGAATCTACCCAGTGGGGACTATGGTGGTGAATCTCAAAATTACGAGCATTGCATTTCCTGATCTTTCCGGTTTGGGGCAAGTTCTCTTCCTCTTACCAGATCAGATGAATAGACAATATAGACAGATCATCATTTTATTATTTACTTTATAATTTATGCCTGCATTTTCTTTTTATACCTAACACTGTGCTCCATCTGAAATTTTCACATCTTGTTCCCAGCAGAAATCTAAATATAATTTTTTACTACTTTCTTAGGACAATTAATTGACCAGTCAGAATATTCCCCAGTGATTTAAAAAGCCATCTTACCACCGTGCCACGTTATTTTATTTCTGGCAATACGTTGTGTGGCTTTCATTGAGCCGCAATTTCACTGTGACAATATCTCTCTATTGTGTGGAGATGACATGTTCTAATACTTAATAGAACAAGGCCTTCTCTTTCATTATTTTTCCTTCAAAAGTCTTCTGGGATTTGACTACTCATTTATTTTTCCAGAACTTTGGAATAATTTAACAAAATTTCAAAACCATTCTATCTGAATTTTTATTGCAGTTGCATTTTTCCTTTGTTTGGGGGCCAAAGAGTGTCCCTCTATAACCATGAATGGTTCTACTCAGTAATATTGCATTAATCTTCATTTATTAATGCTTGTCTTTTCCCTTGGTTAAATATATGGAGAGTTTTTGTTGTTTCTTACAAATTACATTTGCAGGATTTTATTACTTTGCTGCTATTATTTTTATGTTATATTAAAAAGTTTCTCTTACAATGTTTTGCATGATATTAAAAAG